AAAAAAAAAAACATCTTACTTCATAAGCAGTTTGTGATGTAGAAGATGGGTCCGTCCTCCTGCTACATTGTTAGAATTCTGTTGTCTGAGGCGAACAACAAACTCCAAGGTCGTCTTCCTTAGAGGAATCTCAACATACACCGTAATGCTAAAAGCAAACAACGCCTAAAACCTCTTTAAAATTTTCAAACCTACGGATTAGAGTTCATCAAATCGGAGCATGAATACCGCCATCTACTTGTTAAATGCAAGTCCTATAACCATTACTGCAACTTGTCAAAAATTTTGTGGTTAATGGGTACGCACGTAACATGTTTCACAAAAATAAATGAAAGCTCTCTTTTATTTTCCAAAAAAACACTTCTTTTGAAAGATCTGTGGTGAAAAATTTTAACAGCTAGAGGGAATTGATAAAAAAGTGATTCGTCGTCAACAAAGATACCGAGTACCTCGTATACCCGCCCTCTGTAAAAAAGCACCTGTTTTGCCTAGGGGAAGTCATCGAAAATTGAACTGAACAAGTCATGGATTTTTAAACAGGCAAATATCATAAAATCCTTCTTTACAAGAGAGAGTAGCATATGCAAAAAAATGTGCTTTAAGAATCAAATCCAAATTTCACAGATAAACCCTTTTGAAATAGCAAGCTGGAAAACTTTGCCTTCCTTTCCTCCCTTTTCTTCAACCCGCAATTCTACTCCATGCATCTGCCCCAGCGTCCTCACACTTTTACTTCTCCTCCGCTTTCTTCTTCTTCGGGAATAGGGACAAAGGAGACTTTTCTTGCGAGGAGCAGTCACTTCAGAAAGTAATGCAGGTCCAATATAAGAAGTTACAAAAAAGTCGCTTCCTTCTCGCTTAAAGCGCCGGTAAGTAAAAATTACATCTCAAAAGTTGATAACTTGACTAAGATTATCTCCTTCGGAACAGTACGTACCTGCACAGTCACAAATCAAAGATGCTTGCCCTCATCTACAACACAAACGGCACACTTATGTTCCCACTGAAAAACTTTTTGTAGTCAACTCCGGAACGTCTTTAAATCGCCGTGTATTTCGTCTCCCCCTTTGCAATTGACTCACCAGTCATTCTTCAAAACTTCCTACCACTACCTTTTTGGAGTAACGATTCGAATGAGTGCCTTCTGAATCGCTGATTTATATTAAGTAAACAAAAACAAGTAAAGCTGATCATGTGTGCTGAAAAGACC